GAACTTAAGGGGAGCATATTTAAGACTTTTTGAACATAAGCTATTAACTCTGCAGTAAGATGGAATTAATAATATTAAAGTAAACTCTGAATAGTCTCTGGGCACAGAACGTTGAACTAACATCTTGAAAATAACAAACGTAAGATAGCGACCTCGAAGAAGGTAATTATAGTCAAGAGTACGAATAAATGAAATGTTCCGTAAGACTTTCACTGGTACAATTGGTCACAGTAATGAAAGTTGTTATTTAACCAATCGTATTATTTTCGCAAATGTTAAATCACTACAGAAGTTCAGTCTGTTCACGCATTATTCTTATAGTCTCTTTCTTGGTGGAACTGCAGTCAATAATGATAACACATCAAATGAAACTAAGATCTTATTGACAGAATTACTTTTTAGTACTTGAATAAATTGAAATCCCTTAGGCTTTAAATAGCCAGATTTGAGTGAGTAAGCTAACTGTTTTAAGAACCAATAAACGAGTTTGCAAAATGTAGATTTGAACATTGGGATCAGTAGTCTAATATAAATCAGATGACTTAGCTACTGTAGATTTCAGATCATTACACGTGCTATTATCGAATAATTTTGCTTTTCTGGAAATTTCTTTGCTTGTTTGTAACAAGTCTTTCAGTGGCTATAGTCAATTTGGAACTATGAAAACTCACCTAGAATCATTTTAAGTTTTTCGATTACAATTACACTTGGACGTTTGTCATGTCAAAAGATAACAATAGTCATTTTGAATTAAATCTTATGAGGCTACCGGGTGATCTTCAGATAAGAGCTTCGACTGTGCAACTTTTCGCTTCATGCTATGTCGCGTTTTGTGTGTGATTTCTACGCATTTTTTAATAATGATTTTCAAGAATATTCAAGGGCGTACATAGCTGCTTGTGTACAAACTACGTCCGCTCGAAATAAATAAATAAATTGAAGGTGAGTTAAGGACCTTTAGACTAAGTTGGCAGGCCAGAGAGAAGTAAGCTACAGAGTTATGGATCATTAAGTTGGTCAGCTACAATATAGAAATTCGTAGGTGCGTACATCAGTTCCGGTTGACGTATCACATTCTTCGAGTGAATACAAAGAATGGATGGATCAGCGCCATTGTAGATGGTTTCGAGCCATGTTGTTCAAGGTTTCTAACCTTCGTTTACTATCGTCTTGAGTACCACAACCAGGCAATCTCCATCTACCAACGTGTCCATTAGTCAGTAACTTCGTGGATTTGTACAGCGTTTTGACCTGGCCACACCTACAAATCAATAAGGATTCAGTGGTTAGCTACACGGTTACTATTACTACTGGTTAGAGTTTGTGAAAGACCTAGTTAGAGACACAGAGCTATGAAATAAAGAAATAAGACTAAGTTCAAGTCAGAATTATAAGCTTTGAGCGTAATATTCTGATCAAGGGTAATAAAACCATAACTATGTGTATTAAATAACCATTTCAACTAGATCGCATCGATTCCAACCAGTCTATCAGCTACAACAAAGATGCACTTGTCAGTTGATATGCTTGAAACTATGACGAGTTCACCTTACTCGATAAAAGGGAACGACGACAAATGATGCAGTTACACGATAAGCTATTCTAATCCATTTGTCCTCGGCCCGGCTAACTATATCGAGAAGTCTTGATAAGGCGTAGAAAGCATATTCTACAAGGACCCAGAAATATGAAGTCGAGCTTAATTATACAGGATAGAAACGTCCTTGGGAGGGCCGCTAATACAGCCTACTGAAATAATCCACCAACTAATGAAAGTCAAGGATTTTCCGGGTGTGAAATGCAATTTTAAGATCAACTGGGCAAACACAAAACATCCCAAATCAGGACCTTTTCCAAGTGAGTTCTGTGGATCTAACATCCCCACATAAGTATTGTATTCTGTTAACTGGTTTGATGTATATAGATGAAAATCAGAAATATTTTAACGATCTTGATTTTAATCGCAGACATTATTTTTATCCATAAACAACCACTCAACGATCTTGTGTAGTAGAATCTACCCAAATAATGTGTCGAAGCTATTTTCAACGACACTTGAAATATTATTCAAGTTTCTATAATAATGATTCAATATGTCAGTGACATAAAATTGTCTAGACAAATTTTTCTGTCGAATCAACTTCAGTTTTCACTTATTGATAACAAAAGAACTTTATATCAAAACTAGCAAAACATTGTTTCAGCATAAGGAAATTAATTGTAGCTACTTTCTTATTTCACTTTTCTAGTACAATAAACTGAACCTATTTAGTGGCTTTTGATCTGACTCCGATTTGGACAAATGATTGATTATGCGATGAAATAAATATTCACTTCAATTTCTGTATATCATGCTTACGTGAACCACGTTTATGTGACGGCAAGGTGATAACAAGGCAAATACAGATTCAATTGGAAAAGTTTATTTCATGTGATCGTTCATACAGAGAGAGACATGAGGATAAGAATCATAAAAGTTAACTGATGCAAAGTAGAAGAGGCAAATCAGCCAACTCCTTGCGATGAGGAATGACTGCGTATTTATAGTAAGGCAAAAATAGTGTCTACATGTAACAGGCTAAATAAACGTGTACATACACACTAATGAAATATCCGAGGCCATGGGCTAATGATAGACAAGTTCGAAAAAAGTATGAATAATAACTTGAGAAGAAGCATTGCTCGTATATCGTGGGACAACCGAGTAAGCAGTGCTGTCGTTAGGAAACGGGTGCTAGGTTGGGATGGCAGATCAATAGATGAAGTGATGAAACTTCGTCAGTTGAGGTGGTTGAGAAATGTGTTACGTATGCCTAACCACCGACTGCCTTAACGAGCTATCTTCCGTGGTGTAGGAGTAGGTTGGAAGAGAGTTAGGGGCGGCCAAACCAAAACATGGCAGAAATCCATGAAGTCCCTGACAAGTGGACTGAGTCATGTTGATAGATGTAGACTATCTGGTTGGGGTCCACGAGAAGAAAGTCACCAATGGTTAGAGACCTTGAACGACATGGTTCAGAATCGTTTGAAATGGCGCAAGTTCATCCATTCGTTGAGCTCTCTCAAATCCTAATCTTCTGGATTCATCAGCAACTCTACGTTTGTCTTTCTTAACTTATCTCACTGAATTATACTTCTTGAATAATATCTTCAAACCCTAGTCTTCTCCTTCATTACCATTAATACCTCTACTATCTTTATCACTATGAGATTTGATTTGACATTTGCGTCTCTGTGCTAATGTGGTATGGCAACATGAACTTACGTACGAAGTTCTACGTTGAGACTGACTGACTGACTGAGAAGAACGGATTTGTTTATATGTCCATAGGTCAAATATTCACTCTTCGTCAAGTGCTGGGACATAGACAGACACATATTTTAATGCCCCACTATAGTTGTATTGCTTGACCTTAAAGCGACATTTGACGATATCGATCAAGAGATTCTTTGGCAGTCTTTCACTGAAAGGTGTACCAGAGAATCACTTTAATCTAATACAAGCGCTCTACTTTAACACTTGCTCTTTTCTCAAATTCTAATCTTCTGAATTCTTCATCAGCTTTATCTTTCTCATTCTAAATTTACCTCACTGGATTACATTTCTTGAAAAATTTCTTCGAAACCTAGTTCTCTGCATTACGGCTTATAGTTCTACTATCTCTAGCACTATAGGATTTGAATTGACAATTCTATTTGTGTGTACTGATTTGGAATGGCAACCTGAACTGATGTAAGTACGTGCGAAGTACTACGTCGTGACTGACTGACTGACTAAAAGCTGATACAAGCCCTAAGAGCTAGCAATATTTGTTCACACGCTAATCATCTTCTGACCAGCCGACCTCATTTAAACAGTAACTTATTGGTTGAACTGTAGTACAGTTAATCGAACATTCACTCCAGGTCAGAAGTCTGTAGTTTATTATTAACTAACTGTTATTTTTATCAGTAATAGACAAAGTATTTTTTTGTTACTATGATGTAACACTTTCATTCTTTGAAAATTCTATTCCATAGTTTTGTTTAACGAATTTCAAAACGGTACTCATATTAACCCCACTGATGGAGCAATGATAAACAGTTTATTATTATTATTTTGACAAAAATTTATGGAAATGGCGAATATTTGAAATCATCAATCAATCATTGTTAGACAACCATTAGAAACCTGCAAGCACTGCGACTCATCAGCAGTGCGCATGCACGACTCCTGCACCTCGCAGGATTTGAACATGGGACCTTCGGTATTGTGCGCGAACCCCTAACCATTGGAACACTGCGCCAGCATCTAACGTTGTTAATGTCTAACTCTGATTGATCTAGGGATTTTGCGCCACTTCACCCATTTGTCTTTAGTAGTTACTGCCTACACCCGATAGGGTTGAACTCCGTTGGTCACGGT